AGAAATGAAAGCAAGATTTTCCTGCTGGAACTTGTTTTTCATATTGTACTTTTCCAGGTTCTTGTAAATACATTAATTGCTGATTTTGGGTATCTCAGTCTCATTTTACACTGACAACACAATTCTGGGAATGTGGAGGCTCTTAGATAGGGACAGCCTAAACAGAGATTGCTAGCCATTCAATCTTGCCGGATGAATTTTAAAAAGGGAGAACATCTTTGTAATTTATTCTGGAACTTTGCACTCACACATCAGGTTTAGCCATTTTAAAGCCAGCCTTTATGAAATAACCGACAATGATCTAGGCTTTGGGTATCAAGTTAACTCATAAACCGTGGTTTGCAAACCACAGAAGCTGGGTTCCTGCGGCACATGATGTCCAAGACATCTAGTGGCATGTTAGCTTAGCCTGATGCACAAATCCAACCAACAGTTAAGACCAAAATCCCTTTGGATGACTATGGTTAATAAATACCAAAGGACTGCCTTTCAAACGTAATCCATGCACTGAAAGACTGCCAAGGGAACAAGTTCTAGGCTTCAGAATGATTGCTGATCAATATTAAGATTGCTGGATTAGGTGATCCAGTTTAGAACAAAATGCTCAGCCAAGTTAGTTCTTCCTGGCGCATAAATATCCAGGCGGCATCACAAGACCGAAGACCGAAGTAAACTCAAGAGAATTAAAGTCAGCTCTCTCTCAAACAGTGCTGGCCCAATAATCAGGTGTCTTAAAACCAAACAGATGGGAATTCACATGCTTGAGCACTCCTTTATCTGCAGGCACAAGTCCTTCAAACATAGCAAGCCCATGAGTCAAGGTGAAGGGTCAGGGCCTTGTTAACTAACGAAAGAAGTGGGGCAATCAATAGCTAAGTGAGTATTTGTGGGGGGTAGGTAACAGCAGAGTAGCAAGCACAGGAAATGAACTAAGTGCAGTTCCTTGTGCATTTACAGGAAATCTTCAACTGACATCCACAATTGGGATTGGACCCTCTGTTGCTGAGTGATGCAGTCATTCAGTGCGTCATGCCTGATTTTATGACATTCTTGCCATAGTATAAGCCCTTACACTTACATACCGCTTCACAGTGCTTTACAGACCTCTCTGAGCAGTTGACAGAGTCAGCCTCTTATCCCCAACAATCTGGGTCCTCATTTTACCCACCTCGGAAGGACGGAAGGCTGAGTCAACCTTGAGCAAGTCAGGATCGAACTGCCGGCAGTGGGCAGAGCCTGCAATACTGCATTCTAACCATTGTACCAGGAAGGAAGGAAGGAAGGAAGGAAGGAAAGAAGGAAGGAAGGAAAGAAGGAAGGAAGGAAAGAAGGAAGGAAGGAAGGAAAGAAGGAAATAAGGAAATAATAGCACTTAGACTTATATACTGCTTTACAGCGCTTTGCAGCCCTTTCTAAGCAGTTTACAGAGTCAGCCTGTTCCCCCCAACAATCTGGGTCCACATTTTACTGATCTCAGAAGGATAGAAGGTTGAGTCAACCTTGAGCAAGTCAGGATCGAACTGCTAGCAGTAGGCAGAGTCAGCCTGCAGTACTGCATTCTAACCATTGTACAAGGAAGGAAGGAAGGAAGGAAGGAAGGAAGGAAGGAAGGAAGGAAGAAGAGCAATAGTCTTATATACTGCTTTATAGTCCTCTCTAAGTGATTTACAGAGTCAGCCTATTGCTTCTAACAATCTGGGTCTTCATTTTACCACCCTTGGAAGGATGAGTCAACCTTGAGCCTGGTGAGATTTGAATACTGCACCACCATAGTCATTAAGAACATGGCTGTAAAAGAAATCCATCCTCCCCTATTGTCAGAAGCCCCCTGGGAAGGTTGCAAATTCCTGCTCCATCGGCAGGCAGTCCTCAACTTATGGCAACTGCTTCTGTTGCTAAGTGGCACAGGTGAGTGGGGCATTAAGTGGATCACACGGTTGTTAAGCCAATTCCAGTTTCCTTGCTGACTTTGCTTGCGAGGTTGCAAATAATGATCATGCAACACTTATTATAACCATTATAAATACAAGCTGGTTGCCAGGTTCCTAAATTCTGATGACATGGTCATAGGGGTGTTGCAAATAATCATAAGGGTATATCTGTGTTCACAAATATTATTCTATTCTATGACTCCCTTGGTTTTCAATCAATGAGAATAGAGCTGCAAGGGGACTTTGAGGTCTTCTAGTCCAGCCCCCCACTCAAGCAGGAGAGCGTTTACCGTTTCAGACAAGTGGCTGTCCAGTCTCTTCTTGAAAACCTCCAGTGATGAAGCAACCACAACTTCTGAAGGCAACTTCTGTTCCACTGGTTAATGGTTCTCACTGTTAAGAAGTTTCTGCTTAATTCCAGCTTGCTTCTCCCCTTGATTAGTTTCCAGCAAGATTTTGACCTATGTTCTGTGAATCTAGCCAGCTGGAGGTTAATGTAAACCCTGGTGTACCCACAATGGAAACGCTTACACAGGAATAAATTCCCTAGGGACACTAATGCTGGTTTACTACCTTTTTCCACTCAGTGCTCTGCAGATGTATAGACTGCAACTGTCTTATTATGGAAACCGGCTTTCAATATTATCTGCAGGGCACAAAACCATCTGGGACATCTATAAGATAAAGAGTATAAATTCCTATTAATGGTTTAAAGAGCTACAGATATGTTCCGAGGTTCTCGGTGAATCATAAATTATTTGGCTTTAAAGGTTACCAGTATCTTCAACCAGGGTAGAGAAAACGGTGCATTGAAATTAATTATTTGTAAAAGAAACAAGTAAGCAAAATACACGTAAGGGCAAAAGCCACAGATGGGGAACGAGAAGGAGAGAAGAAAGGAGAGAAGAAAGGAGAAGGGGAGAAGGAGGAAGGAGGAGGAAGAAGAGACGAGGAGGAGGAGGAGGAGGAGGAGGAGGAGGAGGAGGAGGAGGAGGA